GGGCGTACTACTAAACAGCTTAGCCAAAGTGTTAGTGGTTTAACAAAGACAGACAAAAACAATCCATAACTCAATTTTTCACATTTAGTTAATAGTGGTCACGCATTGGAGAAAACGACAGCTTTCAAAGTAATTTATCGTATCCCACCGAATCTTTCCAATAGACTTTGTATTCGTTTACTGCACACAGCGAAGGCGATAGGTATTCGAACTATTAAAACTAGACTATGCATTCAGAATAAGTTCGCGCAACCATTATTCTTCCCTTGGCCTATTAAGACATAACCAACTGATGACTTCTCCACCACTCCTTACTTATATTTTCAACCCCCCTCCTCATATCATCCCTTGATCTTTTCACATCTTCATTAAAAATGTGTCCCATTTACCTCCCTTACATTCTAGCATTACTCAATAGGTGCATTTGTTTTTCTTAGCCTTTATCGACTACTTCTACCTGAACATTTGTTTGTTTAATCATGTTGTTTTTCGTTATTCGTGTTATCACAGATTGCCTCACTTTTTCATCCTCATTATTGATAAAACCACTATTATCATTATTATCACTACTACTTTTATGACTAATTGCACAATTTATATTCACCATCTTATTATCCTATAGAGAAAACACCATGATTGGTTTATATGTGAATTTGATTTGTAAAGTTATGTATATTACAGTTAAGCCTGATTAGATCCAAATGAAACCAGTATTGTTCGCTTCAATGTGTTTCTCTAAATTTTACTATGGGGATATTTAACATATATCTAATAAGCAAATAAATATAGAAAAACAGGTTAGTGTAAGTGTGACGACGAGGGATAAAGGAATTGGTATGTACAGGATGGAGGGCCATAACGTGAAAGGCCGACATATTAAGGTTTTTATGAATATGTAGACTGTACAACAGGCCAGGACAGCAATAGTGGTTTGATCTGTTTCTTCCACCCAAAAAGCACCGGTTGTTTAAGGCAATAACCTCTGTCGTTTGGAGTATGCGGTACCTGGATGCTTTGACAATTTATTTAGTGCCCATTGGATGATAGAGGAGGATTTTTCAATGCAGGTTTTGCGGCCGGTTTGGACCAGGTGGTCTAGTATAGAACTATTGATAGTTTTTACTGCATTATTACTTAGGCACATTGGTAGATGTTTCCGAACACAGAAAATCAAGTTCCTAGAGCAAGGGCCAATACAATTCGCTCCACAGTTGCCTTTGAATTGGTAGATGCTGTTAGAAGTGGCTAGTCTAGATACTTCATTTTTCACTTGATGTATCACAACCCGTCATGTAGAAAATATGATTTGTAGTTTACCAACATTATTAGTTTTTTGGTCTGAAAGAAACAACCTCCTTTGCCTACCTGCGAAGCGTCCTTTCAACTACAAGCGGAACTGACGAGGATATCAAAGCAAGGATCATCGGAAAAGCAAGACAAGCTATCATTACTCTCAAGTCTGTGTGGAGGTCAATAGCACTCAGAATCAAAAACAAGATACGGATTTTCAACTCCAATGTGAAGTCAGTGCTACTTCCTACACGAATCAGAGACTTGCACTGCGCGTCATATAGAACACCTCAAACAAACTTCAGACCTTCATTAACAGTTGTCTTCGCTTAATACTTAGCTCAAGATCAGATGACTGGCCAGAAAAGATCAGCAACAGGGTGGGATCTCTGGCAATAATGAGCGAACCAACCAACCAGGAACCGATTGTGAAACAAATATGCAGGAAGAAATGGAGATGAATTGGCTGGCCATACTCTGAGGAAACCATCAAGTGAGTAACATCACCAGACAAGCCATCGCTCGAGTGGAACCAGACCGAAAGGGAAGCGGGCGGCGAGTTGGTCGTCAGTGTGAGGGTGACTTTGAGGAAGTCATGTGAAGAGGAGATGAAAGCATGTGGACAGACTTGGAGCCAGGTGAAGACTCTATCAGAGAACCAAACGCAATGGAGAAGCGCTGCTGAAGCCCTATGTTCCTCTAGGAATTAAAGGATATAATAATAATATAATAAATTAGCTCTTTGAATGGATTTTCTTAACTTGTTAGTAATTATTTCACTTGGTAAGTCACCCTTGAATTTCAGTGCTATATATGAAGTCATATGTGTAAAGGTTTCTTATTTACAGATGGAGAATAGTCCTTTTCTGCTTTCTTGGTCATGTGTTTCTTGATGAACTTTTCTGGATAGCTATTTTCAATTAAGGTGTCATACACAATTCTAAGTTCATCTTTAACCACGTATTCTGAGTATTTAGCTCTGACCTTGTAGTCGAGGGTCCTTATTAAATTTCTTTTGTACTGGAGAGGAAGGAAGCTATGAAAATGTGTATTTTGTCCCGTCCATGTGGTTTTACTATGCAAATTTCTCCTAACATTTGGTTTTCTTGTAAGGAGGACATCCAGGAAGGCAATTCTATTTTGGAATTCCTCTTTGCATATGAATTTCAAAGTAGAATGTACTGTATTGAATTGAGTTATCATTGATTTGCTGTTCAAATCATTTTTACAAAGAATGAAGGTATCATACTTATAAAAATGAATAAAGTAAAAATTTTCTGATAAGGTTGTTCAAAGGACCACTTTTTTTGGTTTACTTGGAAAGAAATCTGCTAATTCGGATTGACATGAGGAGTTTTGAATTAAATCACGTGTTGTTAAAAATCCGAAGTACATTAGTGATAACAATCAAGTAGACGAAGATGAAATAGAACAAATGTAACTGATACAATGAAATTTAAAAAAGAACATCAGTGTAACCAAAGTAAAGAAAGAGGTTTAACAAGACATTTTTGAATATGAAGTTTAGGTTCTTGTCCATTCTTTGGCTACAGCTACAGCTGTACATAAGAAAAGAAAACGCTGACTTCTACAGTGAGTGAATTCATTCCCGTAGATAACCATTTCAAAGAATAAATCGCGTGGGGCTTAATGATCTGAGTGACAAAGGTTTTCATCGATAGATGATATTCTTCATCCCAAGTTCACCCTCAACAACCAAAGTGAGTAGTGCACAGCCATGCGTTTCTGTGGAACATGGTTACAAAGTCCAATGTAAGCAGCTCCACAGGAAAACGTATAAGATGAGAGACTTGTAATTTGTTCTTAAGAAGTATTCGGTGTAGTTAGTAGGTATCACTTAGCAATTCATAATTCATGTGTGACATTCATTTTCATACGAAACAGCTTCGTAACTGTTGTTTTTTAATTTAACCGCCGTTTCTTTAAATCCCTCTGTCACCAGTGTTGCTGGTCTAGGTATCTTATCTTCTTACATTATTCCTTTGCTTTCAGAGTAAAACACTGGGCTCCGAGGTTTTGCCTTGAAGTTCCAATAGCAGTAGTGTTTATTTTCCACAAGATGGGGTTGCCAGCCTCATGCCCAGCCTTCTCTCTTTGCTAGGTCCACCATCGGCTAGTAGACTAGAGGATGTGTGGGAGTGTGTCTACCTGGTTATGTGCGTGGCTGACCAGTATTCTCTAGTAGCTTAGCTGCTAAGCGTGCCGTACTTACAGTGTGGAGGTAGAGAGCTCACACTTCTCTCTGCCTAGTCGGTAAATGCTTACCGACTGCAGATTAGTCGTCTAGCTATAGTACACAATAATTATTTATTATTTCATCAACAATATTAGTATAACTCCATTATGGATAAGATTTTATTTTGATAAATCACACAGTGTTATACAGTATTTTTTTTATTACAGCTTGATTCCACACAGTATTTTTGGTACAAGCATGGAATTTTCAGCATGCTATACCGGTAGCCCAAATTTTGCAGACCGACCATAGATATCAGGTGTGCGTCGGCAGGAGATCGAACCTCGAACCATGTACATGGTAGGCGGGAGTCTTAAGCACTGTGCCACCGACACAGGAGTGACGTTTGAGCACAAACTATTGCTCATAATGAGATCAAGACACTCACACAACTTTCCACTTCACTTATACTTCACTTGTACATGAGTCACGTATATATGTGAAGTGGAAAGTTATGTGAGTGACTTGATCTGATTATGAGCAATAGTTTGTGCTCGAAACGTCACTCCTGCGTCGGTGGCACAGTGATTAAGACTCCCGCCTACCACGCACATGGTCCGAGGTTCGATCTCCTGCCGACGCACACCTGATATCTATGGTCGGTCTGCAAAATTTGGGCTACCGGTATAGCATGCTGAAAATTCCATGCTTGTACCAAAAATACTGTGTGGAATCAAGCTGTAATAAAAAAATACTGTATAACACTGTGTGATTTATCAAAATAAAATTTATCTTTAATGGAGTTATACGCTACCACAACGCCCAAGTTTTGTAGTTATATCAATGATATTGGTAATATATCATGCAACATTTACACAAAATTATCAAAATATACAAAGATACAAGTAGGTACAGGGTGAAATTAAAACTGTTCACGTCGAAAAAGTCGGAGGTAATAATAAATATTCAGCGTTTGGCTGCCACCGGCAAGACGATTATAACTTGCCGTGTCTGTAAACATTTGAAGCGTAACTTCAACGACCGTATATTTTTTAAAACGTTTTAGTAATAAATTCACCCAGAATTTATGCTAAAACGATTATTAATCAGAAATTAATCGATTTTATTCTACACCTGTGCCAAGAGTTTATAAAATTCATAAGAGAGCTAATTGAATGTGAGACAACTGTGTAAACTGTTCATGAAGCCAACATTTATGGTTTGTCCTTATGATTTGCCTACAGTTGTCTGTAGTGTTTTCCCATTGGTTAAAAATATACAAGTTTATTTTTTCCCAACATGTCTTTCTAAACTGAAAGCGAATAAAGACTGGATGTTATTTTTATGTGATGTATTATTTTAAGTGTATTTACAGATTAAAACATTTGAGATCAAAGCTTCAAAAGTTAACTCGTACATGACACAAGTAAATAATTTTTAAACGTCTATGTTGCGGAGGTGTATTCTTGACCGCTTAATTATCACGAATCAAATCAATACAAACAGCTAAACCATGGAATGTGAGAAACAAAGCCCTGTCAAAAAACCTATTCGTAAAACCAGTATACCGGTGAACCATGATGGGGCAGTTGTGGGATTAGCTAGAAGATCAACATTATTTCCTTTCACAACACCTCTACCAGGGATTTCAACGGCTGCCCTACAGCTGGAACAGCTAATAGGAAGGAATAAGAAATGGACAACAGCTGGATGGAAACTAAGTTCTGAATCTGGTTTAGTATTTCGTACACAGTTAAAAGATAAAGAATACGTTTACTTAAATGCAGCGGAGTTTGGTGAAGTTGAAGTTGTTCGAGACTTACTGGAAGATATGAAGCTTGATGTAAACTGTGTAGACTATATGGGACGTAATGCTTTGCTTTTGGCGATGAAAAACGAAAACATTGATTTGGTAGAATTATTAGTCAACCGGTTAGATTTTTACGCTGTTGAAGATGCTTTGTTGAATGCTATCAGTCAACAGAAAAATCATTTAGTGAAACTAATCGTTGATCATCCACAGTATATCAGAATGGAAAAGCAAAGTAAAAGCAAAGTGTCTGGGCCAACTGGTAGTACTAATAATCGTGGGAAAAGGTCACAGTTCTCTTCGGATATTTCACCTTTAATGCTTGCAGCCCATATTAACAACCATGAAATTATTCAACTGCTGCTAGACAGGGATTGAAACTTGAAATGCCACATGATCGAGCGTGTTCATGTCTTGAGTGCGAAACTATTCGTGCTGAAGTAAGTACCACTTATCTTCAAATTTAAATCTTTTCCCATGATAAAATTGTATTTATTGACAAAAATATATGTAGATAATAAACTCTATACTTCATTAAGTAGGAATGTCATTCGTCTTGTTTATTAATACTTTTCACATACGTCACAGCTTCTTTTCATCGACGAAAAGCCCAAAATAAATACATACCTTTTGTGGTTACTACGTAAATAGCATAAAAAGGTAGAATAACAAACGCAGACTCACAGTGTCACTAATACAAACGGTTGAGAATGAACCCTATTTATGCATATATATAAGTAAATTACATTTTCGTTGCAGGGTAAAGTTATTCCTTTTCAGTGACTTCATTTTCAAGATGTACAGTCTTATTTATATTATGGAAAAGGCATTAAGTGGCACTGGAAATCTCTCAGTCAGTATCACTCAGATGATAAGAATAAAGATAATTAAAATGATGTGCTAAGGGGCTAGATTTGAAGTGGATGAATTACAAAACTTTCAAAGATTATTAAGTTAGTGACCTACTATTTTAAAATCTTAACAACAATTCACTAGTTTAATTATCTTAAAAAGTTTTGTATTTCATCCACTTCAACTCCTACCCCTTTAGTACATCATTTTAATAATCTTAATTCTTATAATATATTTATATATTGACAGAGCAATTTCTAGTGCCACTTAATGCCTTTTCCGTAATTTAAGTACGGCTGTACAGCTTGAAAATGAAGTTGCTGAAAAGAAACATTTCTTCACCGAATAAAAACTGTGCTATTCCTTATGAATTAATAGGTGTTATTCCGCTAATGACATACTTTATACAGCGACAAAGAAAAACATAGCTAGTAAAGGTAAATCTCATAAACGAAAAAAGCGAAAGGTAACATTCACTACAGTTTTATTCAATGCTGAACTGATTATAACAGACGATTTAGCTATTTGGATTCAGTAAAACTAGCCAAAAATAAAGCTAACGTTACATTTTATTAGTTTGTAAACTATGTAGGTATTTGTCATGTTTGCTATTAATTAAATGACTTTCAGCTTACTCGCAAGTGATTTTGAAGCGCCAAGAACCATGTCATTTTTTTCAAAAGACGGCTATAAGATAAAGATGAATCCTCTTTTCTCCTGAACTTTTCTGGAAGTGTTTCTACATTTCGTGTTTTTATAATGTCACCTTACCTTCACTTTAAAACCTTTACTATGAAAAATATATATGTATACAAACTGTGTATAGCCTGTGATACTATAAGACTGAGAAATAATAATGTTCAGGAGTCAGTATTCATCAAATGAACACAGTTTATATAACAGTACGAGTGGTTTTACCATTTAACAGCGATAAGGTGCTTACTGTCCAATCTTGAACTGTCTTATCTACGCTTTAACATTTTATGAGATAAATCCAAATTTTCGCTGAAATCATAGGAGTTGCAGGATTGTGTTATTGGCTGCTGTTTTATATTCCACGGTAAAAATTAGATTTCGGATTGATAATATTTGATATATAGTGGCTAGCATTGAAATCTGGGACAAATGCTCTGCTCTGTTTTGGGACTTGAGTGTGTACTTCCGCGAAACAACAACGAAGTATAGCGCACGTGCCTTTGATTTCACTATTAGTCAGCATCCACAAGGGAACGTGAGGATGAACTCAAAGTTATCCCATCTGGCAACAGATACCAATAATTAATTTTCAGCGCATTTAAAAGGAAAAGTATAACAGACTGACGAATTTCAGTAAATTTTGTTTTAATTTTAGTCGTTAAGTAATGCTGCTAGCATCTGTCAGACTTAAAAATAGTTTCACTAACAAGTTGAAAACCATTTTGACAGAAGATACGGAGAACATCAGTGAAACTTCCATAAAATACTACTGAAGCATAAGGGTGAATGAAACAAGAACGTCAGTTTACTTTTTAATAGTGAATAAAATCACTATTTCCGAGAAAGTCAAATAGTAATAGATAGTCTTAAACTTCACTTTTATTTGAATAAAGTAAGAACTACAGTTTATGCAGAATGAGACGGTACCATCAATTATTTTTTGGCTTCTCATTAGCTGCTAACAGCCCAAAGATATTATTAAGTTTATGTACACAAACAATTTCAACATGCTTGTAATTTTCACATAGTGTTAGCTGACAGAGAGTTCAAGTTTAAACAAAAAATCAGTGGTTACTGAACAAAGAATACTGTTTTCGATAACTTCATCATCAGGCTCTACAGTTATATATACATTATAGCGAATGACTGAATTAGTGTTATAAACAACATTAATGTTTAAATAACATCGAATCAATAATATTGATAGATTACAGCTCAGTGGCATCAGCATAACAATAAACTGAATGTCAGAAACATTAGGAAAGATAATATTACAAATTCATGAATTTATAGTCTCTACTGAAGGCCAGAGCAGTAGTAGGGGCTGAACTTGCTTCTTTAGAACTCAGAGCACTGGTTGTGTTCACGCGAATCGTGATAGCGTCTGCTGTTTGGAGCATGCGGTACTTCGATGATTCGGCAATTCATTTGGCACCCGTAGATGGTAGAGAAGGATTCTTCTACGCTGGATTTGTGGTCAGTTTTGACCAGATGATCCAATATCTAACTGTTAATGGTTTTCACTACACCTTTACTTAGCCATGCTGGGAGATGTTCCTGAGCACGAAAAATCAAGTTCCTAGAAGGATGGTCGATATAACTCTCTCCAGAAGCGCAGTTGAATTGCTAGATACTATGAATGCATACAGAGGTAAAGGAGTTCTGCAGTAAAGGCAAGAAGTGCACAAGATGATGCGTAACTAATAAAATGAGTAGCAATATTCTGAGTTCAAATCTCAGTCTGCCGAGTGAATTATGTTAATTGTTATGTTAAAACTGTCTCTATAAATAAACTTATTATTATTTCTAGTCTGTTAGCAGCTAATGAAAGGCCAAACATTTTATTGTTTACCAACCGTTGTTCTTGCTTTATTGAAACACTAAAAGAAGAACAAATATATGAGAGTTCACTTTTATTGATTTTTTAAGAGAACAAATTATGAACAATTTACTCACCTCTCTTTATAAAAAGCAACATATGTTCTGAATTAAGCAAGTATATATTATCGAAGAACGTAGTTCTCTGTCAGACAAGAACATTTTGACGAGGCGTATCACGACACTGCTTGCATTTTTTTTTGTATTTTATGTTGTTACCAGTGTTGGTGGTTCAGTGGTAGAATGCTGGCCAACTACTCATATGTTCCGGGGTTCGTTCTACAGCCAACCCACTCCTAAGCCCCGCTAAGCCGGCAGTTAGGCCAGCAAACCCACCCAGTAAAAGTAAACTACTGCTACCGAGACTTCACAGATCTAAATTGAAGCCCACTGTTCCACCTGGAACGTAAAGGAATGAAATAAATAATATTATAACCAAGGTTAATTGTAGTAACCCAGCCTCCCAGTTACATTGTGCATATATCACATTTTCCTTATTCGACCATGAAAATTGTCTGAAGCACCACTGACCACATTTCAAAATAAAGAATTCTAAGCCTAACAATAATCGTGAATTAACAGACGATGCACTGTTACTGATGGATAGGCCTTCTTAAATTATGCAAATTTATTCTTTAAATAAAGTGACTGGTACTCATTTTAGTGGGTAATAAAAAATAACTGTTAAAAATTGTGTTGTGTTTAACTGTCATAAAAATCAAATTTGGACGCACTGAGACTATGTATACAACGGTTTCTTGTATTTATCTGATGTATAATTAATAGTATTTATCATTAACCAGACAGTCAGTTTTGCATGTTAATGATCTGGTAACAACATCATGTCTCCTTTGTTTTTGTTTTCTTTTACTACGGGTTAATCAACACATGGAAAGATATTACCATTAGATGGGTATTACAAACTAGTTAACAGTTACTTTTTTCATATCTCTCTTCCTTATTTAACTTTGACTAATATTTTTGCAGATGAAATAGGACATATACATATATACGCATAAATAACAAATAATAACTTTGCGTTATCTATTCAAATATTTATCTTTGAATTTTAAGAAAAATGAACACATCTTAAAGAAAAACCTTTCAGGTTATAAAATAAGACAGCAAAGTGAATCTGGAATTTGCAAAAAAAAATTCCATCATTCCCAATGAAAGTGAAATATCTAATCGGATCAATTCATTTCATAATTCTCTGTGTTATAAGCCAAAGTTCCAAATAAATCAGTGCAGGAAGAAGAACAACAGTGAGATCGGATTTCCTATTCACAGTATATCCGCTAATGTCTTGTACATAAGGGTGATGATAAATTGTTCCGGGAAACTTTCTCTTTTCTTTACTTTCCAAGTAGAGAATAGGGCTTCCGGCTTGAGCTCTGAAGTTTCAGTAGCAGTGGTATCGTTTCTATTTTTTTTTTACGGAGAGAAGTTGCCATTATCATGCACCGTCTGGGAATTGAATCCGCACCACACGCGTGGTTAGCAAGGATTCTACCACAAGATGCATTCCAAAAAGTCTGAAATTCGATTTCTATGCTAAAACAAAACATTAACTGAATTCCTAAAAAATGTATATGAGTATCTAATTATTTTCATCTATCAAGAAGTATAGAGTTCAATTAACCACAATAAAAAAGATATTTATTGAATGCAACTTCTATAAGTTTAGATTTATATTGAGTCTAACTCAGTGCCTCCTATATATTGCATAAATATAAAATGCAAAATCTGACACTAATCTAAATTTCAAATGAAATTCAATTGACCGTTTATTGTGGTACACAGGAGTCAGAAATGCATACTTGAATAAGAATACCTACAAACTGAAATGAAGTTATTTACTGAAACACTTAATTCATGCTAGAAATAAACTTGATTGCATATGTTAAAAACTCACAACAAGGCGAAGTGCCAGGAATACAGTCGTATATAATATGCAATTTTAAAACTGCAACGGTAAGCCAAAACATTTTGAATAAATTTCTGCTTTAGTCAA